CTGAAACACTTTTGGTTGCAAGCAGTTCAGAAAGGAGATACTAAACCTGTGTTACAGGAGACTGTCATTTCCATTTTAGAGATGTGGGAATTGAGAAACAAAGCAGGTAAGTAACAAGCCTAAGGTCTGATAGTAAGCAGCACAACAGGAATATAAAGCTTGATAATGGCTTTAGAGTCCATATACTTGGTGACTGTAATATAATTGCTACTCAGGGTAATTTATAAATGGGTAAATATTTATGAAAATAGAAGGAATTATTTTAAAAATATCTATCTCTATATATTTTTTGACATTTACCTGTTTGTTTGGGTTGAACATGAATTTGTTTTTTCCCATTGGAGAATTTTGTTTTTCTGTGAGGGAAGCACGGACATTCTGAGGAGCCAGAGTCCCTTAATTTCAAGGGAAAAAAAATGTTTCCCTGTGTCTTTTTTTTTTTCCTCTTTTAAAATGTTTAATAAAAAACATTATAGTTATACATACTAGTGGGGTTCATTTTGACATATTCATAGATGCACGTAACACAGTTTGCTCCATTTCAGTCATATCCTCTTGTAAAGGAACTTGGCAGAAAATATTTCACTTTAATATCTATAGTTTTTTGGGTCTTGCTTTCATCCCTGATTTTTAAATTGTCACATTTTTCATATAAAGAGAAAGTTTTAGGGAATTAAGGTGGAGTGCTTTAGTTGTTTGAGCAATCATAATATCAAAGGTTGGGTGTTTTAAGCCATAGAAATTTGTTTTTCAACAGTTGTGGAGACTGGGAATCCAAGATCAAGGTGCCAATTGATTGGGTTCCTGGTGGGGGCTCTCTTCTGGCTTGTGGACAGTAACTTTTTAGCTGTGTGTTCACATGGTGTTTCCCCAGTCGTGTGCTTACATGCTTCTGGTGTATCTTCCACTAATAAAGGTACCAGCCCTATCAAATTAGGATCACACTGGTATGTGTCTTATTTAACCTTTATGACTCCTTTATGTTCTTCTAACTATAGTCATAATGGGAGTTAGACATTCAACCTGTGAAATTCTTTTTTAGTGGTGGCAGGGGGAGGGTGGATAGGATGCAATTCAGTCCATAACAGTTGCCATTTTTGAGTGATGAAAAATATTCAATTAGCAGTTAGAAATGTAATATGTCTTTCTGCCACTTGGTGGTACTATAGTATAATAGAAGAAGCACTGTCTGAAAGCAGGAGACCATTAATTAAATCTTAGCTGAAAACCAGATTGTTACCCATTCTTCATAATAGTTTATTAATACTTCACTTTTTAAATTTTCACTCATACTAATATGAACGAAGAGATTTTGTCCTGATTTTCTAGCTACCAATTACTCTTAGTTTGATGTCTTAAAACACTTTTCTTTTCCCTTGCTTTTAAGGTATACAGTGATACCATAGGGTGCTTATCCTTATTTAAGTTGATAGTAAAGTTTTTTGGTTGTTTTGGTTTTTTTTTTTTTTTTTTTATGTGTGTGGTGCCAGAGATTGAACCTAGAGCTTCAGGCATACTACTAGGCAAGTATACTGTACGTTGAGCTACATCCCCAGCCTGATAGTAAAGTTTTTATTTGGGTTTTTATAGCATTCCTAGTTTTATTAATGTCAGTATTTCATTATATATGGTAGTGTGCGGTTGTTTTGTTATACTGTAGCAGAATTTGAAACATTCTTGAGAGCTCTTGTTTGTGGGTTGAGCTTCAAGAAGTGGTGGCAAACAAACTTCTCAAAAAGGTATGAATCAATACCAGTGAAAAGCTAAGGGCAGTCATGAATAGTGGTTCCCAATCTTCTCTTAACTTTTGGTTTACCATTGTTAATAGGGTTCTTTCTGATCAGTTTTAGTGAAAGTAGACTAAGGGCAGAAATAGGAAAATAATGTTTTAGATATTGTTGAAAACAGGTGTTAGGATAACCTCAAGTGTATTTTTGTTATTATGGTAAAACATCAATTGCTTTTGAGAACAGGCAAACCATACTTGGCACTTCACCTGTGTTCTCAATATTTTATAATGTTGCTTATTATTTGGCAAAACAACATCTTGTATTGTAGTGAAGTTGACTGTGCGTTTACACATATTAATTAATAACATTTATATAGAGGAACTCTAATTTATTTTCTTGTGGTAGGCTTATAGGATAAAGATTATAGGCAGAGCATTTCATTGTCTTTTTGCACTGTTGCTTCTTTGGGTAACGTTTTGTAACATTTTGTTTAGGTGGGTATTTTTATCTGATAACTTTTTTTGTGTGTGTGGTGCTGGGAATTGAATCCAGGGCCTTGTGCATGCGAGGCAAGCACTCTGCCAACTGAGCTATATTCCCAGCCCCTATCTGATAACATTTGTTAAGTTAAAGCTGTTCCATATTGCCAGGAAAATGCACTGTGTATCATAATGAAGGAATAGATTTTGATTTTCAGGATCTATGGTGTTTAGGTTTTTTAATCTTTAGTATTTGTACATAAGGTCAGTCATTAAAACCTTTTCTTGGTAAATAATTTTTTAATACCTTTATTTGGTTTTTATGTGGTGCTGAAGATTGAACCCAGTGCCTCACACATTCGAGGCAAGTGCTCTACCACTGAGCCACAACCCCAGCCTTCTTGGTAAATATTTGATGAGAACAAATGTGTAATTTTGGAGGCAAATTGTCTTTATCGAATAGAATAAAGGAGAAGTTTTGTCTTTGTCTTTTGTAGGGATGAAGGGAAAACTCCTTTGCTCGTTGAAAGTTTACTAGAATTAATTGACAACAGATTTAACAGGAGAAAAACATAAATTTATTTAATGTACATGGGGGAAATCACAATAGAGTGATTACCCACTAACTCTGTAAGGTTTAGATGCAGTTGACTTTCAGAGGACCTAAATGATCTTTTGGAGGAACAGATGTGCCAAGACAACTCTACCGTTTATTAATGATTCTCTTTGGAAGAATTAATAGATCCAAGGAGGTGAACATAGTTTGTGACAAAGCCTCTCCAGCTGTGGTTCCATTCCTCAATCTCCCTTTGTGGAATATGAATTCAATTAATGAAACCTCAGGAAGTGGACTGAAGGCAATTGTTTGGGGGGACTGTTTTTGTAGGCAGATAAGGGAATTTTGAATAAGGCCTTTTTCAGTGTCCCGAGGTCTGCAAGGGCTTTTAATTTAAAATAGTGTACTGGAGTGAAATTCTCTTTGTGATGAAATTCTCTGGGCTCCTTCATTTTATTCTGGATTTGGTTGTGTAGGGCTTGAAGCACCCTGTGTGAGTGCTGGTGGCTATTTTCATGTTGACTTATACCTCTTCTTCCTGTGTAATTCGTGGCTGTAGCCATTTGTATGTTTAAATGGGATATCTTTTTTTAAATCTACCTGGCAAACTTCAATTGTCTTTTAAGTCTTAGCTCCAGTGTATCCAGCAGAATAGGTCATTCATGACAACTCTGCCCAAAGCTATTAGGTAACCTCCTCCTACCGCTTTGTATTAACATTGTATTATAATTATGTTTTTCCTTTTTAGACTGAATTCTTTAAAGGGAAGTGCTTGATTTATTCATCCCTGAGTTCAGTGCTTAGGATAGTACCTGTGACTTACTAAGCACATAGTACATATTTAAATGAATTTATTGAAAGGTCTAAACATGTTAGTAAGATGTGACTCCATAAAAACTGCATTAATAATGAGAGTTCAAATATAGGGAAAAATAGAGTAATACAAAGAATAGGTTCACTAGTTAATTTTTTTTTTTTTTTTTAGAAAGAGTGAGAGAGAGAATTTTTTAATATTCATTTTTTAGTTTTTGGCGGACACACATCTTTGTTTGTATGTGGTGCTGAGGATCGAACCCGGGTCGCACGCATGCCAGGCGAGCGCTCTACCGCTTGAGCCACATCCCCAGCCCACTAGTTAATTTTTTGCAATATTTACTTTGTTACTTTTGAATATATGCATGGTTTTTATTATTGCTGAATCCTTCAAGAGGAAATAGCATACCTAATGTCCCTTTGCTCCTAACTACTTTTAAGAACAAGGAATTCTCTTGGGGTAATGGCCCTGTAATTTATCAAATTCAGGAATCTATTGATATGGTACTGTTATGTAATGGACACTTCATATTCAAATCCACTAATTACTCATTTTGATCCTTTAAAAGTTTCCACTCTCTCACCCATCCAAGATCCTACTTAGGTTCATTTATTACATTTGCATTTAATTGATTTATCTCTTCAGTTTCCTTTAATCTGAAGTAGTGCCTTAGTCTTCCTTCTGTACAGTTTTTTTAAATTAATGATGTATTCAGTTAGATAGTATTTATAACACAAAGATCACAGAACTCTGCCCACAAAGGATTTTGTATTGCACAGTTTACTTTTAGTTTAGTTTCTAATTATTATACAGCTTTACATGACTAGTTGTGTATAATTATTTCTGATAATTCAAAGGGAACTAAAGAGGCAAACTGGAGCTTCTGGGTACTTGAATAAACAGAGTTTCCTGAAGAATGGCATACCTTCTCCCATACCTCACTAGATGCATCTCTTCATCTGTATCCTTAATAACAAGCTGGTAAATATATTAAAAAGAAAAATTAAGAACCATAGATGAGGTATTTTTAAAACTGTTTTTGTTTTGAAGTTAAAATACCTGAACTACACTAATGTTAACAGATAAATCATTTTTATATGTGCATATTCTTGTGAAACCACCAGTGGTGCACCACAGAGGAGTCTTTCCTGACCCTTCCCATTCAATACCCACTTATTCCTTACTTCCTGAAGACTCATTGTTTTGACTTCTACATTGCTTGCTCTTAAACTTCATACAGATAGAATTTTGCAGTAGGTACTTGTTTTAGTCACTTTTTTTTGTTGTTGTTGTTGCTGTGACTATAAAATCTGACCAGAACAATTGTAGAGGAGAGTTTATTTAGGGGCTCATGGTTTCAGAGGTCTCAGTCCATAGATAGCTGGCTCCATTCTTTGGGGCTCCAGTTGAGGCAGGATATCATGGCAGAAGAGCATGGCAGCGCAGAAAGAGAATGGCAGATGGAAGTAGCTAACATGATCAGAAAGCAGAGAGAGTCCACTGAACAGGTACAAAATATATACCCCCAAAACCACATCCCAGTGCCCACCTCCTCCAACCAACCGTGGTTACCACTCAGTTAATCCCTATCAGGGGATTAATTCACTGTTTGGGCCAAGACTCTCAAAACCCAATCATTTCTCCTCTGAAATGGGGACAGCTCACATCTAAACCATAACAGTATTTATTTTGTGTTTGACTTCTTCAGCTCAATTTAATTCCAAGAGATCTCCCTGTTGTTGCATGTATTTAGTACTTGCTTCTTTTTATTGTTCTGTGTATTCCAATGTACATATATATCACAGTTCTTTGTTTTATGCATTGCATTGTTTTCAGTTTTTGCTACTATAAATAGAACTGTTGTAGACCTGGGTGCTGTGGCATATGCCTGTAATCTCAGCAGCTCTGGAGGATGAGGCAGGAGGATTATAGGTTTGAGGCCAGCCTTAGCAATTTAACAAGACCCTGTCTCAAAATAAAACAAAAAAGGGCCAAGGATGTATCTCAGTGTTAGGCGTCCCTGAGTATCATCCTCAGTAATCCCCCACCCCCCACAATAAATGCTGTGACATTTATTGTATAACATTGTTATACATGTCCTTTAATGGAAATAAATCCTTATTTCTTTAAGACTGGATTTGCTGAGTCATGGAGAGGCTGCTATTACTAGTTTTCTAAGTGGTTGTACGAATTTACATTCCTAATAGCAATGTAGGAAAATTCTAGTTGTGTTGCATTCTGCCCTATACATCAAATTATCAAATTAAATTTTTTGTAATGGTGTGTAACATTATGGCTTTAATTTGCATTTTCCTGAAGTTTAAGGATATTGAATGCCTTTTCATGTTCTTAATCGTTTGATTGTCTCATTCATTAAGTACCCATCTATGTGGTACCCATTTCTTTAATGACAGGTTTCTTGTCTTCTTGTTATATACAAATTTTTAATATATTCTGAATGTGAGTGTCTTGTAAGTGCCTTCTGGTTTATATTTTCCCTGTTGATTCTCTTAATGGTGTATCATTGATGAAAAGAAACAATTTCATGATCATTAACATGTAAACTCTTAGGTAACTAGCCTTGTTATAAATAATTTCATGATCATAGACATGTAAACTTTTAGGTAAACGAGTCTTGTTGTAATTAGAATCCATAAAGATTAATTTATAATGAGTTTTGTTTTGTTGGTGCTGGGAGTTTGACCCCAGAGCCTTGAGCATACGCTCTGACACTCATCTGTTCCCCTAACCCCATCAAAACATTTTTAAGCTCTGTCTCAAGCAATAGATTAGACCTTAATTTCAAAGTAAAGGAAAAAACCAAAGCATCTGGTTGTTCTTTTGCTCTAATGGAAATGCTCAGACAGCATGCATGAGTCATGAAACAAATCAACATAATTTACTGTTTGCTTACATTGTCTTAAGTGTGTAAATGTTAAAACTTGGGGAAGTGAGAAACAACGAAACCTCTAACACCAAGCCTTTAGAATTTTATGCTGGGAAAGGTATATTGTTTTAATATGTTTGAACTTAAGCAATAAGCTCTACATTAGACTGTTTCTATATTTACCTGCAATGTCAGTGTTACATATAGAGAAACAGTACAAAACAATTTTTTAACATATACTACTTCTGAATCTAGTCTTATTTCTGAAAGTAGTAACTACAAATAATCTTATTTTCTGAATTTTTCTTTGAGATAAATATTTTTAATGGACTGGATGTCTAAAAGCTAAAATTGAAAATTTCATCCAAATTTGTTATTCCTAGGTCTTTACTAAAGTATAGTTTTGAAGTGAGCGTATTCATCGAGTTCTTAAAAAATTAAGAACAAAAGGTATAACATGCTTATGAGTATACAAATGGTTTGGGTGTTGGAGAGTTTAATTGGAAGTCCCAGACCGCACATTTCTGATAGAAGTATAGATGTGCCCTTACTGAGGAAAGTAGAAAGAATACACATGACTAATCAGACAAAGGGAAAAGACAAAAGGATTGGATAGAAGTAGCTCTTTCATAACTGTACCTTGAAAAAGAGGCCTGTGCAGGTGTTTAATCTGTCTCTCTGATTTGTTAGGAGGTGTTAAAACTATAGAGAAGAGGAAGAGCTCTGTCATCAAAGATTCACTGTCGTTTCTAACCCCTGAGAATGCACAAGCCCCCCCTGTAGATTTTGGAGGTCAAATGGGGAAAGACTTTTTCAGTAATGTGGATGTTAATAAATGGAGACTTAAGGCTAGAATAAAGTAATGATTTTTTATTTTAAACCAAATTACAGTATGTTAATCAGACTAAGCATGACTTCCATCTCTGGTTAAAGGAAAAATGAAAGGTTTAGATGTAACATTAATTCTCGAGATTAATTCCCATTCCCCTGGTTTTTCTTTTTCCTACTCCCTCAGCCTTTGAGGCATAGTCAAGGCAAGGCAGTTTTAGAACCATTAATTCAGTTCCTTTTATTTCTTCCCTCTTTCTCTTGTTAGTTACCATGTAGGTAGGTCTTTCCACCTTCCCCAGTATGAGTTCATTTATACTTCTCACGGTTCTTTTCACTTCTTTTGCATTTATGCTATCTCTTCCCCAATACCAGTTATACATGCATACAAATGTGAATGTAGCTTTACCTTTGGAAACTGTTTGTTTAATGAGCTTCTATCACAGTTCAACTTTCATGTTTGAAAAATAGTTGTATTTGTAGCTTGATATGTGTTCAAATTTTTGGACTTTGTAAATAAAATCTATATGGGGTCTCCAGTAGGTATTTTTTACAGATTGAAAGTCATTGATGTATTCTAACATCTGCCTTCATTTAATAGATTAAGAAAGTAAATAGATTTTTCCATAATCAGTTTATTAGAGGCAGAGCTAGAACTAGACCTTGAATCTTCTCTCTTTAGTTTTTTCATTTTAATTACCTGGATATTTCTGAATTTTTGTCTTTGAAATAAATTTTGATGAACTAGAGTCATAACAGTTAAAATTGAACATTTCATCCAAATTTATTTCTAGGTCTTTGAAGAAACTGGTTTTGATATCAAAGACTATATTTGTAAGGATGATTACATTGAACTTCGGATCAATGACCAACTTGCTCGTTTGTACATCATTCCAGGAATTCCAAAAGACACTAAATTTAACCCAAAAACCAGAAGAGAAATTCGGGTATGTAACAGTTGAGAATATTTGCATGTTGCTGAACAGTATCCTGTTGAATGATGTGAGAAATTCCTTTTAGAAAGTCATTGATAATAATTAACTAAATGAATTTTTTTTTTTTCCTTTCAGAATATTGAGTGGTTCTCCATTGAGAAATTGCCCTGTCATAGAAATGATATGACGCCCAAATCCAAACTTGGCTTGGCACCTAACAAATTTTTTATGGCCATTCCCTTTATCAGGTTTGTTCGTATGTGTTGAAATATAAAACCAATCTTCATGATTCTGATATTTAACATTTTAAAAGTGAAATTTTTAATGTTTCCATAGACCATTAAGGGACTGGCTTTCTCGAAGATTTGGGGATTCCTCAGATAGTGATAATGGATTTTCCTCTGCTGGTAGCACACCCGCTAAACCCACTGTGGAAAAATTGAGGTAAAGAAATATATTTATGAAATTCATGAGAGTTTGTAGTACAGTAGCATTTTGATTCTAAAGTTTGTAGAGGTGTAAGATTCCTTCTTACAGGTACTATTTTGTTACTGATCTCATCAATAATAGAAGATTTTTAAAGCTTTTTGTTGTTGTAGTTGGACACAATACCTTTATTTTATTTATTTATACTTTTAGGTGGTGCTGAGGATCAGACTCGTATGTGCTAGGCAAGTGCTCTACAGCTGAGCCACAGTCCCACCCCTTAAAGCATTTTTATGAGATGAAAAAGGTTAATTGAAGTTGGAAAGTAGCTTTAGGCACATTTTAAAATGGAACACCCAAGAGGATACCAGCTTTTTAGATGGACAGATGTAACACTAGGAAAAGAAAAAAAAAGTGTGTGTTTATGGTATGTTCATGTTCTACTTTAGAAATGAGTTTCTGAAGATGGTTGAATGGGGGTTATGTTGAGGTCTGTTTTTGTATAGGGAGATCGGGATGCTGATGAATAGATTCAAGGATAGAAATGAGACTTGGGCTTGCTTGCTTTTCTTTTCTTTCTTTCTTTTTTTTTTAAACATCTTTCTTAGCATCAATTATGTATTATTAAGAGAGACTATTACATGGATGTGAACCATGAAGAGTATTTACTTGCTTGTAACTTAATTGCATCCAGATCACAATCATAGTCAATTGGGAGTAACTTGCTTAAATAGGGATATATTTTTGCAATCAACTTGTCATAACTTTGCCTTTGTTAAATTCAGAGGGAATCAATTTTTGCTTTTCCTGTAATCTGCATGTACTGATTTATTTTTGTAGAACTTCAAAAATTAAAAAATAGGAGTAAACCACATCTGTAGTTAGTATTTTTTTCAAATATGTAGCACTTCATTTCAGTTGGGTTTTATGAGGACAAGAGCTTGGACCAAATGCTTTAAGAATTGTTTCTGCCTTTCAGAGTCTATGATTATAACTACCAAATTAAATTCCACTGGAAATAAGTAAAACTGTGGAAGGAATAAGAACGCAGTTGGTATTAAAAGGAAATAAAGAAATTACTAAAAAGTTATGAAATGTTATGTTACAGTGTTTCTTTAAAAATGTGTATATGTCATCTTTGGGAGAATCTTTTAGGGTTTGTATTCTTGTTGAGGGGGTAGAGACGATAAAGCAATCTGTAACCAAATACAGGTTGCATATGGAAGTGGTAATGCTTATTAATTAGCATGCTGATTAATGCCTATGATGATGTGTTGGAGGGAATGTCTCAATTTTATCTAAATAAAGGATAGAAACACTGAAATTTTATTGTAGGTCTTAAGTGGAAAAGGAGTAGAACATTTAAGTATTATTCTGAAGTAATCTTAACTGTGATGTGGTTTTGGGCATCAGTGACTGTATATGTCTTATAATAATATTTTTTTTCTGATATTGCAAACTGTTGTTTCAGGTATACTTTTTAGAATCAGAATTTTTTTTTTTTTTTTGTATAATTTGACATGGGATCTTAATTTAATTTACTCATCCTTTGTCTTGTGCCCCTGAATTTTTTGCTTTAGAAAATAGCTTTATTTCTCAGATCTTCTTGTATCATGGGTGAAGTTCATAACTGACCTGTATAAATAAAATTTCGTACTTGAAGCCTTCTAGTAAGAATCTGAATTGTCTGTTCTATTAGAGGAAAAGTTCATGTATAGTTCTTTAACTTACTTTGTTTCAACTAAATTTAGAAAGAATTACTTCATATTTTAAAGAATATAATACTTATAGGAAGGAGATGATATGGATAATTAGAAAAATCTGGGATGAAAAACAATAGGCTATAATTTGTTCAAGAAAGTTTTTGAACAACAACATGCATCTCTTTAGGGGCAGGGCATAAAATAATAGGCAAACAGACAAGAATCTTTACCCTCCTTAAACTTATATTTTGCTGGGGAGAGATGCACAATAAATAAGAAAATGAAATATGTAGTCTATAAGTCAGATTGTCAAGGTGTTAAAAAATTATACATAAGATTTTCTCATCTGATTTTTATTTTTTAAATCTTGGTGTAGTCGAACCAAATTCCGCCACAGTCAGCAGTTGTTTCCTGAAGGTTTTCCTGGCGACCAGTGGGTAAAACACAGACAGCCACTGCAGCAAAAGCCATACAATAGCCATTCTGAAATGTCTGACCTTTTAAAAGCAAAGGTGAGTGATATACATTTAAAATTTTTGAATAATTTACATCATTTGTCATTGAAGTTATTCTTTTTTGTTTTTAATTCTAATTTGTTATATATGACAGCAGAATGCATTGCAATTCATTACACATAGAGCACAATTTTTCATATCTCTGGTTTTATAGAAAGTATACTCAAACCATTTGTGTCTTCATACATATACTTAGGGTAATGATACCCATCTCATTCCACCATCTTTTTTATCCTTGTGCCCCCTCCCTTCCCCTCTCACCCTTTTGCTCTATCTAGGATTCCTCTAATCCTCCCCAAGCTCCCCCTCCCAACCCCATTATGAATCAGCCTCCTTATATCAGAGAAAACATTCGGTGTTTGGTTTTTTGGGGGGATTGGTCAACTCCACTTAGCATTATATTCTCCAACTTCATCCATTTACCTGCAAATGCCATGATTTTATTCTCTTTTTTATTGCTGAGTAATATTCCATTGTGTATATATGCCACATTTTTTTTTAATCCATTCATCTATTGAGGGGCATCTAGCTTGGTTCCACAGTTCAGCTATTGTGAATTGTGCTGCTGTAAACATTGATGTGGCTGTGTCCTTGTAGTATGCTGTTTTTAAGTCCTTTGGGTATAGACCGAGGAGAGGGATAGCTGAGTCAAATGGTGGTTCCATTCCCAATTTTCCAAGAAATCTCCATACTGCTTTCCATATTGGCTGTACCAGTTTGCAGTGTATGAGTGTACCTTTTTCCCCACATCCTCGCCAACACTTACTGTTGTTTGTATGCATAATAGCTGCCATTCTGACTGGAGTGAGATGAAATCTTAGAGTAGTTTTGATTTGCATTTCTCTAATTGCTAGATATGTTGAACATTTTTTTCATATATTTGTCGATTGATTGTATATCCTCTTCTGAGAGGTGTCTGTTCAGTTCCTTGGCCCATTTATTGATTAGGTTATTTGTTGTTTTGGTGCTTAGCTTTTTGAGTTCTTTATATACCCTAGAGATTAGTGCTCTATCTGTGTGAGTGGCAGAAATTTGTTCCCAAGATGTAGGCTCTCTATTCACCTCACTGTTTCTTTTTCTGAGAAGAAGCTTTTGAGTTTGAATCTACCCCATTTATTGATTCTTGATTTTAATTCTTGTGCTGTAAGAGTCTTATTAAGGAAGTTGGGGCCTAATCCAACATGATGGAGATTTGGGCCTACTTTTTCTTCTAATAGGCACAGTGTCTCTTGTTGAATTCCTAGGTCCTTGATCCACTTTGAGTTTTGTGCCTGGTGAGAGAGGGGGGTTTAATTTCATTTTGTTGCATATGGATTTCCAGTTCTCCCAGCACCGTTTATTGAAGACGTTATCTTTTCTCTGATGTATCTTTTTAGCACATTTGTCTAATATAAGATAACTGTAGTATTGTGGGTTAGTTTCTGTGTCCTCTGTTCTGTACTATTGATCTATCAGTCTATTTTGGTGCCAATAACTATTTCTCTATAGTATAGTTTAACATCTGATATAGTGAGGCCACCTGCTTCACCCTTCTTGCTAGGGATTGCTTTAGCTATTCTGGGTCTCTTATCAGATGGTATTTTGTTTACATTGGGATCTGTTAATGTTGTCCTTCTGCTCAAAGGAGAGGTATTAGAACCCTGCAGGGGCATTATAAGCCTATAAGCTAAAAACAGCAACACCTTGAATCCACAGAGCTAGAAAGGAAGGCACATGAGCAACATGAAAAGACAAGGGAAGAAAGCGCCCCAAGCACATCAGGATACCACATTATTAGAATCCATGGCCAGCATAGCAGATGAAATGACAGAGGAGTTCAGGATGTATATAATTAAAATGTTTTGTGAATTAAAAGATGATACAAGAGAGCAAATACAGGCAGCAAAAGATTACTTCAATAGGGAGATAGACGTTCTAAAGAAAAACCAAACAAAAAAGGGGCGGCGCCGCGTTGCCATGGCAGTGGGGCGGGGGGAGGAGGGGGAGGAAGCGAGCCGGAGGGGGATGTGGTGCTGCCGCGGCCGCCACCGCAGCTGCCGCTGCCTGCTTGTTGCCATGTCTTCCCGGAGGCGGCTGCTGGAAGCCACAGGGAGCAGCTGCGGTGCTCTGCCATATTGTGTCTTTCCTGGCCCATCCCTCGCTTCCCCGCTGCAGCGGCAGAGCTGACGACCTATTAAAGTAAATGGGTCCAGTAATTGGAATGACTCCAGATAAGACAGCTGAAACCCCAGGAGCTGAAAAAGTTGCGGCACTAAGTCAGATTTATAAAATGGGAAGTTTGCCTGAAGCTGTTGATGCTGCCAGGCCAAAGGCCACTCTAGTAGGCGGTGAGTCCGCAGATGATGAGCTCACAAACTTGAACTGGCTTCAGGAAAGTACTAATCTTCTAACAAACTTCAGCCTCGGAAGTGAGGGTCCTCCAATGGTTAGTCCATTGTATGACATAGAAGGAGATGATGTACCATCCTTTGGACCATCTTGCTACCAGAGCCCAGAACAAAAATCAACAACTTCAAAGCCCCCATACTCTTTTAGTCTTCTCATTTATATGGCTATTGAACACTCTCCAAATAAATGTTTGCCTGTCAAAGAAATTTATAGCTGGATTCTGGACCATTTTCCATATTTTGCTACTGCACCTACAGGCTGGAAGAATTCTGTTCGACATAATCTGTCCCTAAATAAGTGTTTTCAGAAAGTGGAAAGAAGCCATGGCAAGGTTAATGGCAAAGGTTCCTTATGGTGTGTTGATCCAGAATATAAACCCAATCTTATGCAGGCACTGAAGAAGCAACCTTTTTCCTCAGAGCCTCGTAACTGTCAGTGTGGTTCTTTATCACCTCACTACCTAAGCTCTGTTTTCAAGCAGAACCAGGTGCGAACCCTCAAAGAATCTGATATTGATGCTGCCGCTGCAATGATGCTTTTAAATACTTCCATAGAGCAGGGGATTTTAGAATGTGAAAAGCCTCTTCCTCTTAAAACATCATTGCAGAAAAAGAGGAATTATGGTAATGCATTTAATCATCCCAGTGCTATAAGATTACAAGAGAGTGATTCTTCCACCACCAGCATTGATCCAAAAGAAGATCATAATTACAGTGCAAGTAGCATGGCAGCACAGCGCTGTGCGTCCAGATCTAGTGTGTCTTCCTTGTCTTCTGTGGATGAGGTCTATGAATTTATCCCAAAGAGTAGCCATGTGGGAAGTGATGGCAGTGAAGGATTTCACAGTGAAGAAGACACAGATGTTGATTATGAAGATGATCCTCTTGGAGACAGTGGCTACGCATCACAGGCTTGTGCAGATACCTCTCAGAAAGGGCAGCCAGGCAAAAAGATGCGAAAACAGTCATGTCAAGAAATTGATGAGGAGCTCAAAGAGGCAGCTGGATCTCTGCTCCACCTTGCTGGAATTCGTACATGTCTGGGTTCCCTGATAAGTACTGCAAAGACACAAAGTCAAAAGCAACGGAAAAAATAGAAATGCTTTTTGGTGTGAAATTATTTTAAAGTGTGGCAATACTCTTCTACTTAATTCTTTACAAGGGATATCAAAGCCATAATCGACTTTAGTTTTAAGGTGAGGAGGGGTGCCAATTACTTGTTTCTTTCAAAACATTTTTGATTTCTGTTTATTTTTTAAAATTTAACCATTGCTGTAAGGATCATGCCCAATCGTAAACATGTGATAAAAAAGCCTGAGAGCATAATTTTTGTGATAAGTGTCTCTTAAGATTTGGAAATTGTTACATATGAAAATCCATAGTTACTGATCCCATTAAAATTTTTGCTGATATCTTTGTCATATACTCCTCCCTGCCACATGACCTAGTAGGGTAAGATTTGAATTATTTTAATTGTGTCTTATTTTTTGTTTTAAATTATTTGTTGAACATGAGCAAAGTCAAATATAAATCAGAAAAGATCCTAGATGTCTAGAAAATTCCTGTCAATAATATAGGTAAAAAATCCAACAGTGTTGTAAGATTTAGAAAAGAAAATTTGGGGATGTGATTTCATCTAAGAAGACTACAGTTCCTATTACAGTAGTATCTGAAGTGTTTTTACATCATGGATGACGCATAGCATTCATTGGGGCCTTTTATTTTTTCCCAAAGTGCTCTGCAACCACTGTTTAAGCCACCAGCTGTCTATGTGAAGTGGAAATTGTCCACTCAGAGGATATAGCCATAGAGTGTTATGGAGTAACGCCAATTTTGACATACTTTTGCAATAAGAATCTTTCATTTGCTTTCCTAAATACACTGCATTCTAAGAGTCTTATAACCAGATGGAGTGGAATACTTATTACTTATGTTATCATAAATGAAAGTAGGTCATTTAGGAAAAAAAAAGAACAAAACTTTCCAAGCTTTGTATGAATTAAAATTGAATGTATACGAAATAAATTTTAAAAGGCTTAACTGTAGAGCTAAAATACTTTCTCGGATTTCAACACTCATATAAAATTAGATCTTACACAAAACTTTTTGAGGAGGCAGTGTAATACTTATATGTGCCATTGATCCATGCTAAAAGGTTTTTATATTACTATTCCAGCATTGTCTTAAAATGTTTTAAGTATTTAAACAAATCTGCTTATGAGACAGTTTTTTATAATATCATTTATATAGTTTGACTACATTATGGAGAAAGAACAGGGATACTAAAACTATAATTTATTACGTTTCTTTTTACAATGGTGGGAACGACTTTGGAAAAGTCATTCTTATGATACATTCTATGTCATAGACAATGACTTAATTTTCATTTTTCCCCATAATTTTTATACGTAGATACACACACACACATGCAGAGTCAAACTCAAGATGTTGATTTCCTGCTCTCAGCTGTGTTTATGACTATAAAACATTTTCTTGGATTTTTTTAAAGACATAAATGTTTTTATTTTAGCTTCTAAATTTTATTTCGACAAAACTGTCAAAAGAAGAATAATAACAAATGTATCTTTCAATTGATAAGACTTTTATACA